CGGGTGGGTGCGGCAGTGGGTGGGGTGGTGGGTGGGTGGTGGGTGGGTGGGTGGGTGGTGGGTGGGTGGGTGGGTGGGTGGGTGTGGGTGGGTGGGTGGGTGGGTGGGTGGGTGGGTGGGTGGGTGGGTGGGTGGGTGTGGGTGGGTGGGTGGGTGGGTGGGTGGGTGGGGTGGGTGTGGGTGGGTGGGTGGGTGCGTGCGTGCGTGCGTGCGTGCGTGCGTGCGTGCGTGCGTGCGTGCGTGCGTCCGTCCGTGCGTGCGTGCGTGCGTGCGTGCGTGCGTGCGTGCGTGCGTGCGTGCGTGCGTGCGTGCGTGCGTGGGTGCGTGGGTGCATGGGTGCATGGGTGCATGGGTGGGTGGGTGGGTGGGTGGGTGGGTGGGTGGGTGGGTGGGTGGGTGGGTGGGTGGGTGGGTGGGTGGGTGGGTGGGTGGGTGGGTGGGTGGGTGGGTGGGTGGGTGGGTGGGTGGGTGGGTGGGTGGGTGGGTGGGTGTGTGGGTGTGTGCGTGTGTGTTTGCAGGGCGCCTTTTGCCGCTGAGCACGTCGGCATCTCCAACCACGGTTGACAGAGAAGCAAAGGCAGGGCACACGGGAAAGGGCACCATTCTTACCAATCAACCAAAGGAAAGGGTCTTTTTGGCAACGAGTACTCTACCTCACCATTTGCCCCCACCTGCAAATGACGGATTCTGGTCCGTATTTACAGTAGGGAACCTTACAAAGTACAAATGATGACAAACAAAGTCCCAGTTTTGACCTCCCACCTTTGTCTGAGCCCCTCTTTGCGCTTCAGAGTTTTCAGGCGTGGTGAAGGAATATTTCAACATCAGTACTGCCTGGATGCTTCAAGCAAACAAACGGGACATGCAAAATTGGCTGGCTTGCCTGACGACACCGTCCAACGCGGTCTGTCAACAGAGAATACTCGGAATCTGCGGGCAGGAGTTTGGCAATTCCAGCTCAGTGCCGGACATGTCTTTGTCGATGATCTTGATGGTCGTGACAGGGACGTCTCCCAAGGCACCTGCACAGTGAGCCCTGTCAAGCAGTCAAAGACGGAGAGATCTGGGCACTAATTTCCAGCATTGCAATTCCATCAACGCTTGAACCTCATGACTTGCAACCTTGGCTTGCCTGACCCATGGGCGAGGGCACCGTGGCCTGCATTGTTCTGAGCGGCAAACGGGGTAAACAAACTGGGTTGAGACAAACACGAATCTCAGGGATCGTCAGCGCATGCCCTGCAATCAAGAGGGGCTTAAACCTGTGCCTTCTCTGGCTTCGGTGCGTGCAACGGAAATGCCAGTGTACACCCCCCAACATTACTTACATTACTTAAAGAGAACATCTGATTGGGAAAGAAAGGAAACCATGGAAAAGCAGGCACTTGTTTCCCTTACCAAAGGTCTGTACCCCAAGGGAATATTTGGTCGGCGCACGAAGACTCCCAGGAAAAGAGGCACACAAAGCGGCGTCTACGTATTTCCCTTCACCATTCAATCCTTGCGGCGCGCCGTGCCTTGCTGGGAGCCGTTACCAATCACTTTGGGCTCCAAAAGCTCCACGTAGAACCTCAAGTCGAGAGGTTGTGAGCATCCAAACGCAAACAAGTTTTACAACTTGCAATATTTAGAGTATCCACTGTACCCTTCGGCCGCTTGCAGCGTGTTTGAAAGGGCACTGAAAGAAAACCTGGCCACATCTTGGGATCTTCTTGCTCAGCCAAGATGAAGGACAAACCTTGAAATGCGCAAATCACCTACGCAAGCCGACACATTTCAATTTTGTCAGGAAATGGCAATCCTTTGCTTGAAATTATATTGCGTGTGCAACCAAAAGGGCTCTGTATCCCTGTGGGTGGTTTGAATTCGGTTGTCGGGTTGGGTTGAGTTTCCTTTGGTGGGGTGATGTTTGAGGAGAAATATTGGCAACCTTGTTTTACGTTTTACCCCCAATCGTACAGTGTCCCTCTCCCTGATTGAATAGTGGGGATTGTAATGATCGAGTGCATAAGCCTTCACCATCATGGCAGAACCAAAAGTCTGGCTTTGCGTGTCTTGATCACTTGGATTCCTAGTTATAACTCGCTCAGTTGGTTGAACGTTCAAGTGGGCATCCCGTGGCCAATGAATGCAACTGATGAGTCAGCACCGGGCTTTTGGGGCATGCTTTGGAGGGTGGTGGCTGGGGCCATTACTGCGGATTTGTTTGCAACCAATCGGCTGGCGAGAGCTGTCCTTGAAATGTACAAATGTGTTCCAAAGGGTCAAGGCCTCTCATCCTACAACACTGAGGGTGTGGTGGTGTTCCCCTAATACCTCTAAAGGCCTGTACCCACAGCTCAACAAGGATTATGGAATTGGGGCGCAACGACAGGGCTACATCCTCAGGAGTCTGCGACACTAGCCCTCAAAATGAGCTAGTGCTCGTCCTCGGGTTGCCTAGCGACTGAAGCTTAAGATCTTCCAGGTATGATGTACTTGTTTGTTGATACATGGATACATGGCTGTTGATGTAAATGTGCTGTCCTTGCACCATGAACACGGGAAAGCCTGCCCACAAAGCTGCGAAGCTGCCCGCCAAGCCGTCGGCTCTTCCTGCTCCTCGCATCGATCGTCATCCACAATTTCCACCTGGCCAGTGTCCCCCATCAAGAGACATGTCCACTGCTCTGTCCAGGGCTCCTTACGAACAAAAAACACTTATGTAGCTCTCCCACAATGGGAGTTGGAAACTGGGAGTTGGAAACCAGGAGCGCGAATTAACTGCCTATGGCGCGAGTTGGAAACTGCCCTGACGAGAGTTGGACGCCGCTCTGACGAGAGTTGGAACCCGATCACGAGTTGCAAACTATCACCTCGTGGCGGCACCACGGAAGCAGCACGAGGAGCACTGGAGAGCACTATTGTGGGGAACGCTACCACCACAGGCGAGCGCATGACGGGACCACAGGCACCACCCACCACGGGACCACACCACGGGCACCACGGGACCACAGCACGGGGACCACCACGGGACCACAGCACGGGCAGCACGGGCACCACGGGCACCACGGGCACGGGGAACACCACCACAACGGGCACCACGGGCACCACGGGACCACACCCGTAAAGCACGAAAAACAAACCTGAACCCAGCCCAGCCCAAACCAACCCTAAACAAACCCAAAACAAACCGTAAACCAACCCTAAACCAACCCCAGACCAGCCCTAAACGAGCCCTAAGCCCACCTCCCAAGCCAGCCCCGAACCAAACCCAAACCGCAAGCCTACACCAACCCTAAACCACCCGGGACCAGCCCTAAACCAACCCTAAGCTAAACCACCCCTACACCATGAACCAGCCCAAAGCCACCCTAAACCAACCCTAAGCCAGCCTAAACCAACCCTAAACCAACCCTAAACCATCCCTAAACCAGCCCGACACCAACCGTAAACCGTAAACAAACCTAAACCACCCTAGCCACAAGCCAGCCCTAAACCAACCCTAAACCAACCCTTAACCAGCCCTAAACCGCCCTTTACCAGCCCTAAACCAAGCCTAGGCCAAACCTAAGCAACCCTAAGCCAGCCCTAAACCAGCCCTAAACCAACCCAGCCTTAAACCACCCTAAACCAACCCTAAACCAACCCTAAACCAACCCTAAACCAGCCCTAAACCAGCCCTAAACCAAACCTAGGCCAACCCTAAGCAACCCTAAGCCAGCCCTAAACCAGCCCTAAACCAGCCCTAAACCAACCCTTAACCAGCCCTAAATCAACCCTAAACACCAGGCCTAAACCAACCCTAAGCCAGCCCTAAGCCAAGTCTAAAGCAACCCTAAACCAACCCTGGCCCTAAACAAACCCACCGGTTTCCAACTCCAGCTGCGGGAGTTTCCAACTCCCGCCGATTTTGTTTCCAACTCCGGGCAGGACAGTTTCCAACTCCTGCCCTGGCAGTTTCCTACACCCCGGCACCTGACTCCCACCGGTGGTTTCCAACTCCCAGTTTCCCGGCGGCGGTGCTCGGTACTAGCCAGGAGTGCTGCCCGGCCACCAGTTAACATGCGAGTGCGTAGGCCCCCTACTCTCTTTCTGGAATTCGAGCGAGCCTCTGGGCCTCTATGCTAACTCTAGACATCCTGTTGCCCCCACAGTAGGCATCATGGAATGGCAACAGGCGAGCCATGGCTTCTTCCATGCCCCTTCGAGAAGGAAGCCATCTAAATGTGTGGAAGATGCAACAACAAGAAAGACCAAACGGGTCTTGGCGTGTAGTATGGTGTGAACTGAAGGGGAATAAAAGGGCGTGTTTTCTCAACGGTAACCCAGCCATGGCCTTATTTTTGCAAGCCTTCACTAAAGCAGGCTACTGCCTGTTTGAACATCTTAAACCCCCGGTTCAAGCTTGCAACTTATTGAGGGTGCCATTTGTATCCGTGTTTTCCTCGCTGGTAGAAAACTGGCAGCACCCTGCATTTTGTGTGATGATTTCCTCACCAAGTTTGACCCCCACCCGAATCTGACTTGGTGGAGAGCCTCCCCCCAGTCGACTGTAAAAGTGAGTCTGGAGGCGCTAAGTTGCATCTTGTCAGCCGTTTAGTATCGAATACAGGGATGCTAATCCTGTCCATCATGATATTGGGCATTGTTGTTGGAGTGCTTCCTCACAACAACACACGATCACCCAAACTTTGTCTGCCTACCCAGTGGATGAATCTGAGGCGACCAGCGTATTGGAGATCCCTTCAGCCTTCAATGGCGGGGTGCGCTGCCCATATCCCACCGGGCAACTGGGGATTTAAAGGGAAACCAAAGGCGGAACACCCCAGAGGAAACCATCCTGAACACCTCTCCTGAAGAACAGGCAGTCTCGCACACAACCTCTGGACAAGTACCTGACGGACTCGGGCACCTGAGATAGACTTAGGACTTGAAATATGTTCTTTCATTACTTAGTCTTCTTTCATCATTTCAGTTGGCAAAGACGCGACTTAAACGCCCGGTACCGATCACTTCCTTCAGCCCGTCCGATTCGCCTCGAAGGACTTCTCCACCTCGTCGGCCTTGAAGCCTCACGTCCCAGCTCCCTGAAGTTATCCCAAGCTACAAATTAGGACCAGGATTAGCCCTAGTCTACCTTAGAGGCAAGGGACCAAAGGTTTCTGGTTTCCTTGGTTCCTCTTGCGTAAAAGGCAGCTTCTCTGCACTGGTTGTGGAATTGAAGGGTTTTTATCTGGGTCTCCCTTCCTCGGGGTTGCATTAGTTGGCGGGGTCGAAGTGTTTTGTTGCGGCCTCTCCCTCCGCAGAGATGTGTTTGCTTGCTCGCACTTATTTGCGTTTTGGGAGAGAACCCTGGTGCAGGGTCACGACAATGTGGAGACAACCACCTCAAACGGCTGGTCTCCCTGTTTAACAGACTCAAAGCTGGGTCTGTAGTGTACTGTACTTGCTTGGTGATGACTGATCTTGATATGCATGTCCGGCCTCTATGTTTTGGATTTTGCTTTATCCGCTCCTTTTTGAATGTTGCCCGCTGTGTGTCTTCTGTTTTACCCACCCTAATTAAACCCACCCTTGAAAACACAAATGTGATTCCTGAAGCCTGGGCGGGTGATGGCCTGCAATGCTTGGCATGCGTACGTGGCCCGAGCTGGTTCACCAACCCCTCTTGACGCAGTCAAAAAGAGTCGCTGACGCTGCGATTTGTGGGTCGCTCAGGTAGGGAGTTGAATAAAACTGACGGTTCACGTATGGTTCGTGCGCCGGGTGTGGCCAGGCCATGTTCTGAAGACACTGAGTTGCCATCAAATTTGGACACGAGAGAAGGCAACCCCCCAAAATATATATATATATAGAGATATATATATATTTAAAGAAGAAAAAAAAGTGACTGGGAGGGGACCGGAAAGAAGGAACCAACTAAAGATCAGGGATCTCCGAAGGCTTTTTGCCACGTCGAATACATCCCTCTAATGGGTCTGTCTTCAAAGAAAAGCACAATGCCAAAAGAAACCAACCACACGGAGGGTCCCTTCACAGCTATCTAGATAGCAAAGTACGCCATGTCGGTGCTTTTCTTCCAGGCACGATAAACCCCAAAATCAGTCACAGCTGCGACACAGGCGCAAACCGGCAATCCAGGTGCCGCCTTCCAATATATGGTGCGGAACCCTTTCCAAAAGGAAACTCGTCTTTCAGAGATCTAAGCAGTGCACCAGGGCAAATTGGTACCTCGGGTCAAAACACCCAAGCGATGCGTTGAGGTGATTGGGGCCCCAGCTGAGGCAGCCCTCCACGTGTTTGAAGTCCTCCCCCGACGTGGCGGTCCCGTCCTTTGTCCTGGCGCAGAGCTTCTGCGGCCTTCCGAACCGTCCAGGGATCATCTCCATTCGGTTCGTTTGACCACACGTCTCGGTGGAGGAGAACCTGTGCTGTTCTTTCTTCATTGTGCTGTGCTTCTGAAAAGGGGTAGGGAGCCCCTGTCGGCCCTGACCACAAGGATTCCATCTGGTCCTGAACGAAACGGAGGCCGGGAAGTGCAGGAGGCCGCTCCGCGTCACAACCACCTCCACCTGGCCAGTTTTATGGGCATAAGAAAAGCCTGAAACAAATCAAGTCAAAGCACAAACATCCAGTAAGCCAAAACATATGCATAAATGGATAACAATAAATACACAACAGAGAATACACCAATAAATTGACAAATAATGGAATACATAAGAATACATAAATAGATAAATGCATGAGTCAACTGTTAACTAAATCAAATAACTGAAAATGACGAAAACAATGACGAAAGTGGTAAACCCATTAAACAAACGACTAAATACATAAGTCAACAAAAAAAATGGTAGAGCAAAAAAGAATGAGAGCACTAAATGAATAAATAAAAATATGAAATAGACACATAACATCAGACACAAATTGGCTTGTCAACAAGGATTGAATGCATTGACATCGACAAACAGTACATAAATGAATACATGGGTAACTAAACAAATCAAACGAGAAATAACATCAAACTCAAAATACCATTGAAACAAAACATGAGTGTGGTGAAATTGACAAACAGTATACAGATAAATAGAAGGGTTAACAAAACCATCACAGAAAATAAGTAAATAGATAAATCATAAGTAACTAATAACTGAATGGTGCTTTAAGTGTTTTGTTTTTAAAAAAAAAATATGTTTAATTAAAAAAATAATGAATGAATGAATGAAAGAAGAAAGATCGAAAGAAACCAAAGACAAAACATGAAATAATAATTGGATCAATAGATGAATGGATGGATGGATGGATGGATGGATGGATGGATGGATGGATGGATGGATGGATGGATGGATGGATGGATGAATGCATGAATGCATGAATGCATGAATGCATGAATGCATGAATGCATGAATGCATGAATGCATGAATGCATGAATGCATAAAATGCAGGAAATGCAGGAAATGCAGGAAATGAATGAAATGAATGAAATGAATGAAATGAAATGAAATGAAATGAAATGAAATGAAATGAAATGAAATGAAATGAAATGAAGAGAAATGAAATGAAATGAAATGAAATGAAATGAAATGAAGAGAAATGATATGAAATGAATGAGTGAGTGAGTGAGTGAGTGAGTGAATGCATGAATGAATGAAATGGATAAATAAAATGAAATGAAATGTGGAATGGAATGGAATGGAATGGAATGGAATGAAATGAAATCAAATGTAAATATACATACAATTTTATACATACTTGAATAAATAGATCAATCAGTGAACATAGTTGCATAAATGTGTGCGTGTTAAAAGAGCAATATGCAAACGAAATCAACAAGTATAAAAATGATATATAAATACATAAATAAACAAATAAATGCATGCATACAGATTCATTTAGAACAAAACAAACAGACAAACAAACAGACAGACAAACAACCAAACAAGCAAGCAAGCAAACAAACAAGCCAACAAGCAAGCAAGCAAACATGTATGCAGAGAGAGAGAGAGAGACACAATTACAAACAACAGCTAGAAGACATCCCTCTGAAGGACAGAGACCGGCGCCTTGCTTTTTGAGATCCAACCCGTGCAACTCTTCAACCTTGTCCCGTTCTTCAAGATTTCAAAGACTCTCCCACAGGCCGGTTCCCCAAACCCAGAGCATATATCACGGCTTAGCTATGACATATTTGCCCTTCAGATAGTTTCCTTCTTGGCTCCTGATTTCAGGCATACCCTGAACATCGTCTGAGGTTCGTTGCCTTGGAAACAGGACACTGGTCGAATGTGGTCGTGGAGATGCGACCCCTTGAGGAAGTTGACTCCCATGACGATTGAAAGGGCACTTTGCACAGGGTCAAAAAGGGGGAAGTACTCCATGGCTAGGTGCCTTACAACAACCCGTCCAAAAAAACCACCTGGAGTAGGGGGCTCCCCAAAAAATGAACGACAAGCCCATTCGGCAGAGGGAGCCTTGCCACAGTTCTCCATGCAGGCCACGGACATCATCACGAAGCTGAAGACGCAGCGCTCCTCCTGAGACCTGGGACGAGCATTAGGGTTCCCCAAAAGAACATTACTATGACTGCACCTAGGAGTTTCGACCATGGTCAAAATCAACCAGAAAGTGGTCAATCCACGTGTGGCTTGGTGCTGGGGAAGTGCAATGCTCCAGAGAAAAGCTAGAGCAAAGCAAAAAAAACGAAACTGCAGAAGCTAAGAACAAAAACAAGTTGAGCGTCTGTGGCAAAAGAGTTCCAATGCATTGAGGCAGAAAAGATACCCAAACGAAGCCAAATAAAACGATGCCAAAGCGGATGTTGTTTTTGCAAGTTAGCACCCTTCTTGACAAACACAATGTAACCAAACGCGGAAAGTAGGCTCAACCCACCTTTGGACAATTCCGCATGCAGGGTTCCCCTACATCATCTCCGCCAGAAATCGAAAGGACACTGTGCTCAAGTAGCCCAAACGTGATGTCTAAAACAAACCAAGAGCAGAAGGGAACGCAAATGAGTTTCTTTCCAAAGCAACATGCGAGAACCTGTGGCGACACACGTGTTGCGGATAGTGGCGTATTTTTGAGAAGGGAGCAAAGAGGGAATTCGCGCCCTGTTAGAGACAAACACCATCAGCCTAGCTCAGTGCAACTTTACTCTGTGAGGGATGAACTTGGATGCGCATCTCAATCAGAATTTTCCCTCCCAAGCTTCAACTGGTCTATGAGAGCTTCCGACTGCGTTGGGCGTAAGGCGCCCAAATGGTAAAGTCCCCGCGTGGAAACATTTCTTCGCACTGCGGGGCCGAGCAGGGTTGGGCGAGCTGTTCTTGGCAATCTGAGAGAAGCCAACAGGAAGTTGTTAAATATTGACCCCGGAAAAATGTACCCGGCGGGTTTATTTGGGGTTCCCCCGAAAAGTGAAGGATCCCGGCATTACCCGACCTGGGTTTCATTTAATCCTTCGTCGACATCAAAGAAAAGGAGACAAGCGGTTGAATCGCCCAACCCTGGGGCTGAGTGCATCTGACCGCAGCTTGAGTCCGCACCAAACTTCGACTTCCTTGAAACCGGCGCTCGCTCGCCACAAACAAAGGGGCGACAGAAACCGCCCCACATGATGCTGCGTCCCTCAAGTCAAAAAGGCAGCAATGATTGGACACTCGGTATTGTACAGGCAGCGACTGCCTTTTAGTATTCGCCTACCCTGGAGAGCACTGCCGGCTCATCTGGGTCAGACCAGTCATGATGTCGTCATCCTTGGTCCGGTGCAATCTCACGCACAACGCCCAGTGCTTGAAACAGAGTAACTGACAGGGTGTGCCTTTTGCCCCTGCTTGGACATGTACGGACTTTGTACTTTGTAGAAGTGTAGAAACCCTTGCAGGGGTCCAACTTGATTTTCCAGAAGGGCAAATCCGCACTGAGTCGCTGAGTCAGGGGCCTTGAACTCGAAACAGCACATTGCCTCATCCTGAGAGCGTGCCAAGGGCCAATATGCCTTCCAAACCATCATTGTTTTCCGCTTTGCTCCTGTTTCAAAGCACTCCAATGCACAAATATCAAACACACCCATCCGAGCCTTTGGACAGCTTGCTTTGAAATGTGTCCTTTCGCCCCCCGTGCCGAGTTGTTTGAAGCGCCCCGCCTGCGCTCCAGACAGGAGCCGATGGCCGCCCTCAAAATCCTGCGAGGATATTTTCGAGCTGATACCCTCCGATTCCACGCGTGTTTTCCACGCTGCTCTCAGTGGGGAGTATTGGGGATTGCCCACCCTGCGAATCAGCATCGAATCAGAAATGGCAGTCCCCAAGAAAGAAATTAGTCTGAAATGAAGGTTTCGGGGTGCCAGGGTGGGCGTTTCCTTTCCCAGCTGAGAACGATTCACGGGTTCCCAACTAGGCGCTGTCTATTTAAAGGACATGGAAAGGTGGGGGCCGCGTCGAGTCCCCATTGGCTTTTGTGCACTTGGGGGTTCTGTCACAGACTCCTGCCACGCCAGAGAGCCGACGGTCAGCGAGTGGCCACTCAGCCCCAGAACTGCCTGAGACGGAGAACTGGCTCTGGACATCAAAGCTCCAAATAAAAGGCTCATTGACCGTGGAACAGACGAATCGACCGGTTCTGAAGTCCAGGATTCAAAGCCACCCCAATTTCCAGCCATGAAACCGGTCCCACACAAGTTGGGAGTATTGCGCCCCAAAATTATGCAATGACGAAGAAGCGTGGACCAACTGTCATCCAAGGTGCGCGAATGTACCCATGTGCATCAATCAGCTCCTGGCAGGTGCTTCAAAGTCACCATGGGCTCCCTGCGCAACTGTCACGCGAGTTGCCCTTGGAGCTGTCCTGATCACCCCTATCCTGGGCCGTCTTCTCCAAATGCTCGATCTCCTGGCAACCGGAGCCGCAACCCTCAAAGGCATGTCTCTTCTCGGTCTGCCGAGCGGAGTCTATCAACCCAACCTAAACCCATGTAAGAAGCCACAAGGGCAGTCGCCTCTGGTTCACTCGGGAAAAAGGCTGACCTCTTGAACCCATGACCAAACAATCTGCATCCAAACCCGGAAAAAGCAAGAAGGCCACCAGGGACTTCCGGATGCAAATCATGTCACATTCTGCGCCGTCTCTAAGCTCTCCGGAACCACCCCTTCAAGGAGCTTTACCACAGCATATGGCATAGGCGCTAGCGGTTGCTTTCAATTGTTCAAGCACCTTCGGATGAATCAAACTGAAAAATCACAACTCTGCAAATGGAAGGAGTATGAAGGAGTATGGCGGAGTCGTTCAGGTAGGCTCCTCGTTCAACTCCCGGATCTCGGCCGGATCTCCCTCGCCAGCATGTACCAGCTCGATCACCTGCCCGTGCCACGCAGCTTGAACGTCACGGTGGGTTAGAACTGTTTGCCGTTTTCAAGGTGAAACATGTGAAGCCAAAGAGCGCTCGCAGAATACAAAAAGGGTAAGTGCCGTCTGGAGCTGACCCATTTTGGCTGATTGGTTCTAAGCCAGGCTTGGGGCCCTTGCCCGACACGTCACGTACGCGTGAGTTTGCCAAGCTGACTATCAATACATCTCAGTGTTTCGAGCTAGTGGACATGTGTCCTTGGATCCTTGATTTTTCTAGAAGAAATGCGTTTCGTGAGGCAAGGTTTCTCCTACACTCAGGGTGAAACAACCCACTACCAAGTATCCAAGACATCAGCTACAGGAAACATATGCAGGTTTGTTTGGCAGCTTCTTGCTTGCATAGTTAAAACACCAACAAAGTGAAGAGAGAGCACTTAAGAAGGGCTCTTTGACTAGTGGGTGTGTCCTTGTTGGCAGAAAGCGCCCAACTCCAATTCCAATTCTTTGGATATGATCCAAAGTCGGAGACCCCGCACCCACCCAACCCCTTTGGGCATGGCAGCAAGACAGAAAGACCCACACAACCAGAGCCCCATCCATTGGGCACATTGGGCACACTGCAAAATGACGTTGCTACACACCCAAAATCCGCCCCTTCAAAGCCCCGGCCTGCTCTCTTCTCTGCTTCAGGTCAGCGAGAAGGTCACTGACCTCCACAAGCTCAGATTCAGCTGCCTGTGTCCCCCGTGGGAATTTCCAGAATGAGTATTTCCCCCAGTAGTTTTAGCTTCCCTTTAGAACAAGCCCAGCAGGGCATCGTCAAAAGTCAACACACGTTGATCAGGTCTGCGGAAGTTGTCCACCTTGTCCTTGGAGTCATGGGCATATTACGAGCTAATTTGCTCGGCCTTCTTGTAGCGCCACCAACACAACCGCCCCGCTGCGCCTTCTCGCCATCCTCAGTTTTGGTCATGCGAGTCCTGCGCAGGCGAGAAAGTCGATCAAGTCTTGCTTTCACACTTTGGGCGCAACAAACAATGCCAAACAAAACACCGGTCCCTCAAGAAAAAGCCCGAACAACCGTGGTGCAGGTGCTATTAAGGCTTCATGTAGGGGTAGTTTGGAGGTTCCTTGTCCAGGGCCGGGGGTTCGCAGCGGTGGCTTTGCGTTGTATAGCTTAAACTCCTGATGTACAAATTGAGTTCATATCACACTCATATGAGCCACGGTCAAAGTATGCCGAAATTATCCCAAATGCCCATCATGGACAAGGGGAAAAGGAGGGCTAGCGAATCCTCTGTGTGTGGAGGAATGTTCAGTAAGTCCCCAAATCTCAGACCCAAATCCTCAACCCCAGCACTCACTCCGTCCCCGCCCCCCTGCCCCGGTGGCGCCACCCTGCCGCTTCCTGAGGTCCGTGGGGGACAGCGCCCAGAGCCGCACGGAGCTGTCGGCCGCCCCGGAGGCGAACAACGTCCCGTCCGGGGACAGCGCCAGGCTACGGACCTGCCGTGCTCACGAGGCAGGGGCTTTTGAGATCTTGAGATCTGAGGACTTAAAAACTTCGGCGCTTCAAAAGGTCAAACGAGATTTCGTCCTGAAATTAACTCTTTTTAACTCTTTTTTTACAAGGGACTTGGTGTCGTTGGGGACACCGTGACCACCGAACAAGGGAGGGAGCGGATGGCCACTAGAAGAGTCTATTTTGCCTAGAGCCTTCTTGTCCAGCATGTGATGCGCTTGGATCGCTGAGGCTCCGGGCGCAAGAGGTGTGCCCCATGTAGCTGTCCAGAGGCGGGTCACGCTGATTCCTGGCATCCGCCGGCCGAAGCACTGCGATATACAGCAAGGAAAGCAGGAAAATGCAGCCAGGAATGAGCATGATCCTAAAGGAATTACGGCGAATTTCCGGTAGAATCTCCCGGCAGGTGCCAAACAGGGCAGGATGCCTGATATCCCATCTCTTCACGCAGTAGTCGTCGCCAGCGGATAGGATTTGATTATGCCCACCTTGGACCAAAACTCATATGACAACACACACACAGAGGCGCTGAAACCACATTATGTGTCGTGATGTCCCCGACACCGTAGACAACTACTTCAACCCGCAAGAATATGAGGAAACAAGCAAGCCCTGAATACAGCACATCAATACATACGCATTGTGAAAGCGCAGCAAGATGGAATATCACCCAGCGTGTCTGGTTGACACTGACAACGCCTCGACCAAACAAATCGCTGCCACGGTGCACCAAATTGCGTGGCACACGGTGTATCCCGCTGCTGCATCCTGCGAGCGGAGCGCAGCATGATCCTCCAAATGAAGATGTCTCCAAGGACTTTGTTTGCGGAGTAAAGACAACAGGAGAAAGGGGTGACTCGGTGCTCTCACATTGTTTCTAGTGCTCTTCTAGACTCCAACAGGGATGTGTTGCCGCCCGTTCCCACCTGGGGTGAACAGTGCCAGTATTGAGTTCGGAGTTGCTCAACCCCCAGCAAAGAGTAGAATGCCTGCTTAAAAGCACTGACAGGTGTCGATTGGGGAGGTTGCGCTTTCCTTCTAAGAAGGGAGAGTGAAAGAGCAAAAGCAAACAGTCCAAACCCCTTTCCAAGCTCTCCAGTTATTCACAGGCGGGGCCAATTCAAAACTGCCAACCTGCAAACTGGGCGACACACCAAGGCCTGGAGGCAGGCTATCAAAAGCCAAGCACCACACCCATCCGTTTTCCCCGGAACACACGGGCTGCTGATGGGCTGATGGGATCTAAATCCGCGCCTCGATGTCCGACACCTGACAGGATGGCCATGACCCCGCGTTGATGTCGAAGATGGTCACGTGCCCGTCACGAGATGTGGAGACCACCTGAAGATGCGAAAACGAAGCGCAGACGCAAGCCAAACTCCGAAAATCGGCTCGTGGATGCTACTGCACCGGACTATGGGACTAGCACCACAGTCACACATCTCGTGCTTCCCCAATGCGACAGTTCGTGGGACCCCCAGCTGTTGAAATCTGGTCCCTCCCAAATTAACGTTTTGGCTTCGCCTTGCCGTCCTTGCGCGTGCCCAGCTGAACGCGTGGCAGGATGTACGCATGACCAAACTAGTCGCCGGCCGGCAGGAGACAAACACTTAAAGGGAAAGTCTGCGCCTCAAAGGCACTCCGTAGAAGCTGTGTTGCATTTCGGAAGATAAATCATCGACCCGAAACAGCAATTGCGCACATCAGCTCGCATCAATTGGAGCGCAGATTGCCAACATGTCTGGCAGCCAAATCAAGCTGCCAAGTCCAGGACAAGGAATTGCCTCGCATGAACGGTGCGCAATCAGGTAATTAACCAACTGTTGCCATCAAATCTTGTCGCAGCTTTGTTTTCCGTGCCGTGGAGTATCAAAATGCAAGTTTGGGTGTGTGTGTGTGTGTATGTGTTATGGAAAGCGAAAAGCGCGCACCAGCTCGTGCCAAAGCTCGTTTGTCACATTCGCCCCTGAGCAACCTCGTTAGAGGGAGACAAGTGTGGCCCAAAAGCAGGGATACAAGCGGGCAAACAAGTGGGGAAACAAAAGCGGAGGCAGAAGGGATACTAGGCGCAAATCACCTCGTGACAGTCTTTCTGTGAACAGAGAACCCCAACAGCTAAGCTGTTTTGGGGGAGAGCAGGTTGCCTTGACACACCTCGGGCTGACTACCGACGTCAAGACATCACCCCTGCCGGCACCATGTCATTGAACGTACACATCCTGAACCACTTGCGTGACGCTTGCTGAGAACAGCCTCAGGAGAGACTGCGCCGAATGCAAAGCAAGCCAGAAGCAGAAGCCAGCTGAACGTACCAATTGCACAAGCAGCAAAAAAAAACGCAATGATGACACACCACGCAGGAGTCACCTACTGCTACTGCTGTCCACTGTAAGCGTACCTGCGCTGAGCTCCACACGCCAGAAAGATCCAGGCAAACCCCATGGCATGCCCAAGTCGGTTGAAACGGACTACTGGAAGGTGGGCCGTGCTGACCATAGACCGGCAATTGTGAGACCGAAACCGAGCTGTCGTTCACTGCGCCTGGTGGCCATCCGCTGCCAAGGACAGAGAGTTCACCAGGCCTGCAAGCCCCGCCGTAAGCACGAGGCATTTGGCATCACCCTAGGGTTTATGCCAACAAAGCAAATGGCTCCCATAGGGGGAAAAAACACACTTATGAAACCCAGGTAAGTATGAAGCAAGTAACATCAACCTTCATCCATGGGTCCTCGCGGAGAACGACTTGCAGAGTCCCATGGTAAATTGCAGAAGTTTCCCTTGTTTGATTGGGAATTGAACTGCAGGACCTAAGATAGGTGTAGGGAATCTGAACCCCAGTTCAGGAGAAGCGCCAAGGCCGGAAAACATTCACGAGACTCGATGCCCAACTGGGCTCTAAGACGCGTTCGTTTGATGGTCCCGGTGCCTCTCACATTCCCACCAAACCTCTCGGGTGAAGATCTTTGCCCTTAACTCCCTTCAAAGTTGCCAAGCCAAAAGCGATATGTCAAGATGTTTCAAAGGGAAATGCATCGAGAGTCGGGAAGTGGGAGAAAGAAGTTGCCGTATGGGTGCGTCTCGAAACCCCCTTTTAGATGGGTTTTGAAAGGATGCCAAATGGAACACTAACCTTTTGGTCCCTTCCCCCAATGTTGAGACATACCCGTGTACTGAGGCAAAACAACTGGTGTTTCAGATGGCTTGACGTCCTCGTATGCACCACCGTCAACATATGGCGGTTGTTTGAACTTCCTTGTTCCAGGAAATGGCATCTTCACAGGCAAGAACAAAACTTGCGCGCGCCCCATCACAGAGCTTCACAGGCGAGGCCACACATAAGACCAAATGGCCTTCCCCCTCATATCTCAACACAAGGACCTTTCGGACGCTCATACTTCAACCATACCCGAAATGGGCCTCAACAAATCCTGCCTTGACCCATGGTTGCTGTGGTTAAGTTTAGAGAGCCGAAGCTCATATTGGGTGTATCTCCAATTCGGGGTGGTGCCTGCAAGTTTGGCGTCCTTTCCTTTTGGTTACCCCTTGAATTGAAATTGAACCCCAAAAAGGCACCAACTCCCACAAAAGCACACGCCGATCTACTGAAGTCGTATCCCTGGGCTTGACCCCTGCAAAAAGTGATCCACGGTTTGCTACTCAGTTGTTGTGTCCAGGTGTTCATTGATCAAATGGTTTCCCAACCACTCCGTGCCTTCATGAACCTGCCAGGTCCTGATGCACGTGCCCGTCTCGATGTCATTCAGGACCACCAACCCCTCCTTGCTGCCTGACGTTGGTCAAATGGACTTGGCCCCGGATTCCCTCAGGTGTGCCTTCGGTTTACCTTTGGTTTTTCTTCACAACAATGCCAAGAAAGCCTGCCCTCAATGACTCAAATGAGAGACATGCGACCTCCCCGAACTCCATGTTTGTCAACATGCTGCACAAGCTACCGTGAATTCCCCACAAATAGCAAGTTGAACAGCGCGGCAGTTTCACCATGGCTTGCCGGTTGACTTGCTGTCTATTGAGGGTGCTGACTTCTTCAACCAAGCCAAAGCCACGCGGCATCAAGGGGGAGGGCTCAGCAGCCACGTAACCATGATGGAGCCACTACGTCTTCAACCACCAAACCACTGACCCCAAGAGAAAACATTGTATGTACCCTACATATATTTCTAGTGGCTATCCTTTTGGAAGGCCTGGTCATGGTTTTCTTAATAGCAACCTTTACATTGAAGGTTCTCTGAACCCCCATTCAAAGGTTGATGACCATCCCTGCCAACCCCAAGTGAGTCGCAATCAAAACCTGGTACTAAGATGGTGAACCCAGAACCATGTAAAGAATTAGAAAGGCGGCCGCAGCTATTTATGGTTGGGATCGTCCTTTACTAACCTTCATCTACCCAGGTTTTGATTGTGGCTCAAGTAATGTTCGACATGGCACGCATGGCCTTACATTGGCTATAAGCCAACCAATTTCTTTGGCGTTACGGTAGCAGATGGATGGAAGCCCGCGATTTCCACGAGCCAGCCTCCAAGCAAGTACCGCGCAATTTATTGCACCCTGCCCCCGACAAATTCTCGCCAGTGGACTACCCATGGGGTGGTGGTGAAGCAAACCCAAAATTGGTGCCAACTCAAAATAGACATACCCTCTCACCCAACATGAAACCTGACTAAAGGCTCTTGAAATGAAAAACAAGATTCCTCTAAAAGAGGTCATTTCTCTGGAGGGCTCCATAGCAAACGCAGCCCTCCTGCATAGTTTTCGACATGCAAAACCAAAACCACTGGAATCCATAGACAGCCTCACCCAGAAAACGTTCAAACGGCGCCTGAGAGGACGAAGTCCGAGCTGAGGCAACAGGAAAAGACCGCGCTCGACTGACCTGCAAGCCGCAGGGCGTGGATATGCAATTGGAGAAGGTGATTTTGTTCAAACTGTGTCAACCAGGAAAACCGAAAAATGAAACACTTATACGAAGAGTAGGCTGCTTGTGCATACTCGGGCTCTCCACAAGGAGAGGGCAACCAAGAGCTGCCCAGGAGCGACCACAAATCCAGGAAATACTTGGGATGCCCTACTGCAGATGTCACTTGTCTCAGATGCCAGTGGCAATGGGAAAAGACAGCCGCCTTGTCCCGAAAGAATTGCGAAGGGTTCTTCCTGTAAGATCGCCTGCAAAGGCAGACTGCGCACACAGTAGCACAGCTGAAGACTTGAACTGAAGATTGCCTGCTTCTTGTACGGAGAGCTAGCGCGCGGCACTAATAGATAAGACCGCCCGCTTCTTGTACAGAGATAGGCTGAGCGCACAGACTGACACAGATAGACAGGACAAAGGACTTGCTCTGCTCACAGCGAGGCAGCCAGAGCAATGTAGATGGCGCAAAAGAGTCGATATGATGACAGCGAACAGAGCAGCACAAAGAGAGTGCGCAGCTGACATGCACATTTCATGTGAGCAGAACGATTAGGGCAGGGAATTTTTGAGGGAAGCCACACTGAGTTGCGTGTCAGATAACACACAAGTGTAGCGTGGAAAGCGCAGAAAGGCCTCGAGTTGCGCTTTCACCTGAGATGTAGCCTTGAGATGTTGCAGAGACTTGCATAAGGACATTTCTGTGTGATTAAACATGAGATATCCTGTGAAGCATCTTTGCATACGCCAGCAATGAGGTGGCGCAAAGCTGTGAAGCCAGAATCTGTGCTCGAAATTAAAGGTAATGTTTTTAGGCGGAGCGGCAGCACCGAACCCGCCCTGTTCCGCGCGACCCTCTGCAGACATCGTCGCAGTCAATTTGCACAACCTGCGGGTTGACACTGGTCAGAGATGCGAGGCTTGCATGTCAGGTTGGCTTATACGTCAGTCAGGGTAGCACACCACCTGCTGCGCGTTACTCGAACTGTTCCCCAAACAAGGCGGTAAGGCGGGACCCCCTCTCTGAATGTGTTGTTTGCACATTGTGTCTCGGCCAGGCAGAGACCATCTAATTCGCGAATTCTGCATGATGCACCACAGCCACCACCACCGCCCAAGAAAACAACAAAACAAAACAAGTACCACACAGCAACCCCGACCAGGGTCTCCTTGCCTTCAAATCTCTGCACCACCTGCTCCTCTGCCATGTTCCAAAGGACCAGATTGTCCTGGCTGTTTCCACAGCTTTGGTGAGAGTGAACCGAACAAAACAAACGGAAAGAACCCCCACAACTCCTAGTTGTACCCCCGAGAAGAGTCTCATTGCAGGACCCCACAGAATCATTGGGGTTGGGCCAAAAGCCATGTTTTAACTTGTTTACATGACTCAGGGTACGGGTTTGACACCACTCCTGGATGAGTATCAAATGCCTGAAAGTGTACCAAAGAGTCTTTGAATTTCCTTCCATCGGAGCCTATGAGCAACGGGAGCTTGGAAAAAGGAGCCCAGGGCCCAGACCAGCCCGACTGATTCTGGCTGATATGGCACTTACTATACCCCCTAAAGCCGGGTAGGACCAAGACCTACTAACATGGTGCACGGAGCCCCTGACGAGTTTGAACCTCTACTTAAAGGATCTCATGACCATCCACAGCCAATATGCAGGCCTGAAATTGACCATGGCACCCTTGGTGGCAGCGGTACCCAAGATGCTTTCCGCTTTCCAGGGGCTGCACGATGCGACGAAATCGCGACTGCGGTCCGACTTCTTGCCGTACCCCAAGAGGACCCCGCGCCCGCCAGGAACTGCATCCATGCAGTACACCTCAAGAGATCGCGGTGGTTTGCTGATATTTGTCTCTGTGGCAAGCTAGATTATTCATATCCCTATGTGACATTCCAATCTGAATCAGCATTGAATTTGAGGTTGCAGCCCACTGTGGTTCTGGCACAACAGGGAAGGAAGGGGGCATCGAACTCAGGACCCTTCCGAATGCTGGTTACATGTTACTTACCTGTCCCCTAAACCGGTCCTTCGCGACCCTAGTTTTGACCCACAGCCAACTGGGCCCGCACCAAGCAAACAGTCACTCCAATACAGGAACCCGTCTTGACGCAGAATCAGGCACGGGGTTGAGTCCCCATTCTTTGCAATCACTATTCTTACAGAAAGAGCTACTGCCCCTGGGTGTTGCTGGCTTTCGAGAAGGAAGGATCCCTGACAAGAACGAGGAAGTTGCCCCTACACCATCTTTCCTAAGCCGTCGCCATCTTTCCCTCGGTCACAAACCCGCCCAGCGGCGGATGGGCCCACTTCACACCTTGGCTCGAGCCGAACACGCACCGAGGTCGGACTCAGTCTGCGAAAGCTCGGCGGGCGGGGAATCTTTTGTTGATGGCTGGTATGCTGGATGCCCTATGTATATATGAAGCATGTAGGGAGAAAGGGAAACCATGCAGTTTGCCGCAATTTACCTGGGTTGGGTGGTTGAATGCGGCTGATTCTATTATATTGCTTACGGAATCCACCGTGTGGGTGGATTGAGGGCATGCAAATTATCTTTTTTGGATGCCCTGAGCAGAAAAAAAATAAGAACAACTCTCTCCTTAGAGGGAAGATTGTCTAGCTTGAGACTCTCGAGGCCATCCCCTATTGTCCCTACCCACCCACCCACCCACCCACCCAACGAACAGGCCCTCTGGCCCTGGTATCAGATTTTCAGTAATTTAGATGTCGGTCCTTGGGGTGCGCGGGGCAGTCGGCGCCTCCTTTAAAGCCCCGTTACTTTGACAACTGCCAGTGCGTCTTTTGTGAGTTGGTACCCTCCCTTCTGGACCTCTGTTTTTGTCCCGAAGAAGAAGCCCTGGTTCATATTAAAACTCAGATGGTCTCAAAAGAGGTTCTTGTCAAAGAGAAACTCACTTAAACCGTTCCAAACCTGTTAAAGGCCTCCCCCCCCTTGTTTTGGGGTTGCTTGGGTTTCTCAACATAGGAGTCCCTAAAATGAGTGGTTTTCTTGTGTATCCCTTTAAATACCAACCAAATGATCCATTTTGAGAAACTCCCGCTTGTATGCGACACTGTTTCCAGCCGCCCTACAAAAATATATCCAATGAATCGCTCACGGGGCGCTGCTTGATGGGGGCGTCCATGTGGCTAGCGACATCGAAGACCAGCAACTGACGGGAGGCCGAGTCAAACCCGACAGCGAACAACCCCCCACAAGGAGGCTGTTTTCGGTTAGGCCCGAGGTGGGCGAAGGGATGTGTCCTTGGTTTCTTTGACGAACAATCACCCCAGAATAAGAATCAAAACCTGAATTATCTCTCTCTCTCTGACCCAGATAAACTGGGTGCTCATATACCCAAAAATACGAGGTCATGATGCCATTGGTCAAAGGGTCACGGAAACTCCAGGTACTCGTTCAATTAATAATGATATGGCGCGCACAGTAGACCACTCATGTCGGTTGGTTCAAAGAAGCTCGAATGATTCAGAATCAAACCAATGGGTCCCTGGTCGATTCCATCTTCGCCAACAACCAGAGGGTCCTCAACTTTGAGAAACGCCCTATCGGCAAACAGCAAAACTACCTGAGTCACAATCAACGCATTTGCCGCGCGTATGGTGAGGGGACCTTTGTCTATCCAGGTTCTGATTGTGGAGCAACTCACTGAGCAGTCCCCCTCAAAGTTGAATCTAAGTCCAATTCGAAGGATTGTTGGGAGGTCTTTTCAACCCCTAAAAGGTGACGTGTATCCCCTCTGCAAGTTCTGAATTCTGATTCCGGAAGAGAGAATGAAAGAAGAAGCCAACGGCCATGATGAACTTAAATGGGGAATACCGTCAGGACGGTTGGTATCCACCAAAATATCCAATTAAAATTCAGGCCCAAATGTTTCAAAACGCATCAAGCCCCCAAGCCCGCCTTGCCCTCGCCAGTAGCAGCTAGCGCCGTCCCATCTGCGACCCATCGCACCGCTTCCACCTCGAGGCATGTCCGTCATTCTGTAGTGAAGGTACCCCCTTTGGATTTTTCCCCAAAACGAAAGGAGTCACTCAAGCTGTCCGTTCCAGGAGCTATTGGCTGCAAACCGATACCTCCCTCACTCTGCCAATTCAGTGGATCATCACCAAGAACCGGCCCTTTTGGGGAACCGCGACCCCGCAAGGGTGAACGGTGGGCGCTTTGGCCCCCATGGGTCTCCTCCCCAAAACAGCAGTAACAGGTAGGCTACTAACGATACGAGCGTTGCTCATCTTGTCGTTGCGGGAGCTGGGCGGCGCACCGTGGCATTGAAGTGCTTGTTGTACTTCACAACCTGCCGCGCGTGACAAAAGTGGTCGCTGCTGTCATGTACCCCAGGTCAACAACATGCCAACCAAGTGGCTATACATAGACAAGCAAAGGGTTCTACCGTGGCATCGGGTATGCGGGCCAATTTGGGAGGTCATCTTTTTTGAGCCCCACCCCCACGACCATCGTGCAGCCCAGCAGCCGACTTCACGCTCCGCGGCATGGGGAAATGCTTGGCGAACGAGGGATCTTGCTCTACGCTGTTCCTGGCAGCGCAGGCGCTTGTAAGGTTCTATTTCTTTAGCCAAGGTAGACTTACACCAAGGAATTGGTGTTCAACCCCGAGGTGATGCAACCACACTGCAAATGCTTACTTTGGGGCTGGCCACGCTGCAATTGAACCGCGCCCAACAAAAACTGTTGACTTTGGGTTGCACCCAGACTCATGGACTCCTACCCCTGAGGGTCTTCCCCTATTGCCTCCAAACTGCATGAGCCCTGTCTTCTTGCAGGAAGATCGGGGTACAAACAGCTGTGGAAAAATGGCTCTAAAGGATTGCACGAGAAATGGGTGGTCCCTTAGATGTCCTATCAAACTGCTCCCAAACAAGCCCCATTAAAGAAGGGGAAAGACAAGGGGAGTAGCACCATGTACCGACAGGGGGTCAACTCCCCTCCCTCACGTGGAACCCACCAGGTCCCTGTGAGAGGAAACTTGTCTTAGGACCTCCAGTCAGGTTCCGGTCTTGTCAAGAGACCGTTAACAATCCCGCCTGTAGTCCAAGAAGGATGCACTCGCATCTGACAGGACTTCCTGCGAACGTGAATACGCACAGTGCTACTCAACACAAATGATAAATAATGAAAGAGCTTCTTGCCGCGACTGTCCCCAAATTATGATCTTCATCTACTGCATGTTTGATTCTGCGTCTTGTAATATGCGGGCCATAGTGACTGTTCCCTCGACAGCAACCCTTGTCGCGGTCTACACAAGCGATGCACTCAACAAGAATTCCCGCGTGCCTTGATTCTTTCTGGATTGTTGACCTGAGCGGCGCTCAGGCGCTGCGATTTCTATTCCTCAAAGAATGTGTCTCCACGAGCGGGCATTTCGGTCTCCTCGTGGTTTCCCTTCAAAGCTATCCAAAAGTAGATCACAAGGCTACAGTTGGCGGCCCCTTGGCCAAGTTCCTGTTCCTGTAGGTTTCTTAGACATCACATCCGGATGAAGGCGAAACGCCTTCGCGAAGAAGATGCTGAACTCATCGAAATCGATGGACCCGCTCTGGTCTGCGTCGATCATCTTGAACACCTGCGCATCGGACACACACGTCTGGAGGAAGCACGCTACCCCGCTACCCCGAAGGGAAAAATTGGCTTTCTAGCCACTAGTTGTTCATGGTCTGAGCTATACCAGAAAAACCCGCGACCTTGCTGGGAATCTGTCAAAGCCAGCTGGCCGCTTTTCCAAAAGGCAACTGTTCCTCATTGCTCATGTTCAAATGGTTCCCCAAAACCCGAGGATGCTTCGACTCTCTAAGAGTTGGGAGACCTCAAACGAGGTCCATTCGAATACAGGTACATTAGTGCATAGTCTCAACCAAAACCTTATGCGGGGTGACCTTTACCATCCCTCGCGTTTCTTAGGTATCTTTGATGCTGGGGGGGTTGTGGACCAGATCTAAGATGAGCTCTGCGGCCCCAAGGATAGAAGTGATTGTGATGCGGAGCAAGCGCACAGAACCTGTTTGTAGAAGCCATTCACATTCCACGTCCCCTGCAAGGGCAGGCTTAGATTATGCAGATCATCTTGGCTGTTCAACATTGCTTGGGTTGGCCAGACCCAAGCCATCCTTCGGTTTCCACTAGGGTCCCAGATCCTGTCATGAAGCCCGACAATTTGCATGGGGCTGGCCTCACCACCTTTTGCGGTCTGTTGACCTCCACCCCAAGAACACAATCGGGTAAACGCCGCCCCGCTTGCTGGGTTCAGATTGGGACCATCCTCGGAAAAGCAACCGTAAGGGGTGAGAGAGTTCTGGGGCCACTTCAAATGGCCCTTCTCGCTGTCATCCGGCGCGCTCAGCTCTACGAGGCCTTCTTCATGGAGTTTTTGCTGCATCGGATGCCCAACCTGGATAAGCAGCTAGAAAGCAGGTTCTGGCCGACGCCCACCCTCCCCTGAAACCAACAAGAATGTATCCCGCACGGCAACAGAATGCCTGGAACTTCATTCTCGCTTGGCCCTCTCCACACATGACCGCCCCAAACACAGAATTGGGCAAAACTCTATAGATCTGGGGGAAGGAAAATAGGACATAACGTGATACAGCCTATCGAGAATTCCATAAGGGATATACATGCCAAGCAAGCGGGGTATGGAAAAGCGTACAACCAGATTGAGGTTCATGTTGCCAATATAAAGTTAAGAAGCGCCGAGCAGCTAAGAATTTCAAGATGCAAAAGCAGATTGAATACATTGACTGCTGAGGAAAGGATGATTAGGAGGAAGCAGTTCGGGAAAAGGCTAGGCTGTTTTTGATTAGATTAAATATCACTTTCCTGACACGAAGCCTCACTTCCCGAGTGGATACTCATCGTCAAGGAGAAACTGTACAAACGTATACTTCGACACGTTCACCTCACTTGACATATCTGTTGTGAAAAAGTGACGTTTGATATTGCCATGTGAAATGTGTGTGTGTGAAGTTCCTGCGGGGGAATGGTGGGCCTGTCGCCTTTGATGAACCAGGTTGTGTGTGCAAAAGTGTGGCGGAGTCAAAAGTAAACAACGCATATATGTTATGTATGCATATCATATTCATGAAAACACTGACACGCATGAAGTGGGGCAGACTCACTGGCAGGTCCACTGGGTCCCGCAGTGACAGCAAAACTACTCCCCTAGTGGAATCATAATCCCAAAGTGAGTTTCAGACGCCCTGGAAAATGCAAGCCATCCCACACGACGGTTGAATGCTGTTTCCCCCCTAGGAAATCATAGCCCTGGTTCATGGGTTGCCCTTCAGGGGCTCGGAATCCAACTGAGGCGCTCCCGGGCGGCGGTCTCCAGCTCCTCGATCTCCAGCGTGCCGCTGTTGTCCAGGTCGATGCGCCGGAAGACCTGGAAGTATCTATTTGTTTAATTATCTATTTGTTTACTTCTCTATTTGTTTACTTATCTATTTACTTATTTATTTATTTAATTTATTTGTTTATTTATCTATTCATTTACTTATCTATGTATTTAGTTGTTTATTTGTTTATTTGTTTATTTAGTTATTTATTTATTTATGTATTATTTTTTGTGGACGTATGCATTCACTTAGGGAGGAAGCAGGAGACCCCAAAATCCCACCCAAAAGCTGGTTCTTGGAACCCACGGGTAAAACCCATGTGGGACCCCCTTGGCCGAGAGTGCGCAGGCCTGCTTCAACTCCTCCGGATCCATGGGAGTGTCATCCGCGTTGAGCTTGGCCTTGGCCTTGGCCTTGCCTGGAAGGGCCGATCCTCGAAGTAACCCTCAAAGAAACCAACAGGAAGACCACCTTTGTACACTGTTGCTGGACTCTCAGATTGCTCTCATTCCTTTGAGGGTCACTCGATTGCTTCCTTGACCAAGGAACAAACTACATGCAGGGGAGGGCCTGTACCCATCAAAAAAAATGCGGGTGCTGGATTGCCAGACTTTGCATTGGGGGCTTTGGGGGCTGGCCAGGACTGAATAAACTTTTCATGAAGTCTTGCATCTTCAATCTTCGATCCACCCCCAAAAAGAAAATGTCAAAGTATTGAAAAAATAATGTCAAGTTCACTTTTTCTTGGATATGGAGAAGTGCGTGAACTACTGCTGAATCGTGCCGAATGTTGTTGTATGTGTGCCGAGGCGCCGATTCTGGCTTGTGTGCCTGCGTGTACATACATACATACATACATACATTACATACATACATACATACATACATACATACATACATTACATTACATTACATTACATTACATTACATTACATTACATTACATTACATTACATTACATTACATTACATACATTACATACATACATACATTACATACATACATACATACATACATACATACATACATACATACATACATACATACATACATACATACATACATACATACATACATACATACATACATACATACATACATACATACATACATACATACATACATACATACATACATACATACATACATACATACATACATACACATACATACATACATACATACATACATACATAC